GAGATTTCAGAATGAGAGCCTAAACAAAGTATTTTCTAGAGCAGGACAAGAGCTTTCCTGAGTTCTTGCAATTGCTTCCTGGTATTTGGCAGTTGTGGTGTGGCTAATTGGTGTTGACAAGCTTATTTGAATAAAAAATGTATTGCTGTGTAAATTTGTTTGCTTTTGATGATGCCAGCGCTAGCACTGGGGTGAAGGAAGTTTACGAGCTTTCTGACTAACGAATCAGCAAACCTACCAGGCAAACACTGCAATATTTTCGTTACTGATTGTAGTCACCGTGTTCAAATGAACTTGCTGGCTAAAGCATGTCAGAGCAGATTTGAGAAGGTAGCTGCCGATCATGTTAAATGTTTGCTTTTGAATATGCCAGTGCACTTTTCGGCAGGCTAGTGAAAACAACGAAACGGACCCAAACTGTGCAGCATATTTCCTATGTTTCACTTTGTGCTTCACAGTGTGTGCCAGAGCTGCTCTGCTCTGCTCGGCTCTGCTGTCTTTTATGGAATCCAGAGCTGCTCGTTGGGTGGGGAGGGGGAGGAGGGAAGATGCGGCAGAGGATGATGGGATCTCTTTGTTTGATTTGGTTTGGTTTTTGCTTCTCTCATTTAACTGTGATTGTGGTATCGTCTGATTTATAGAGTTAAAATTCCTCACCGAGTGTTGCATCTATCTCGGGAAGCTTGTCGTTTTAAATGGTGAAAAAGCAGTGCTGGGGAAAAGAGTCTAGAGGGAGGCAGAGAAGATGTGCTTTAATATGAAAGGGGTATGGATATTGAAAAACCTTGGCAAAATTGGTTACTTTACAGGGATCAGGAAGTTTAAGTCCAAATGTGTATTTTCTTAATGATGGGTGTACTCAAAATGCGTCAATCAATTTTGTGTTTCAACGTAAACATCCTGTGCTGGGAGAAGTTGTGAAAATGGCTATAAATAAAAAGGTGAATTTGATCACTTTGCTTAACCTTCCAAGCTTAGTGAAACTGAAAGGTAAATAGGAAGAACAAATAGTGAAAACTAAATTATTTTGTTTCTTTTATTGCCTTAACACACTATACTCTGTGACTCAGGGGTATTAATAATAGCGGTACAGAAGACTGTAACGAGCAGCAGTTGGTCAGCAGGTCAACAAAGGCCCCACTGACCTTGGCAGCATGACAGGGTCGTTGTTCAGCGCAGATTCACTTGAGTTGCTCTTCTCCCCAGTTAATTAAACGTAACCAGTCTCATGGTCCGTGCTCATCATGTAGGACTTACCTTGTAATTTTCTTCATCAAATTGTGGTTAAAGGAAAGGAAATCCCACTCTCCATTCATGCCCGAGGCCCCCTTTTCGGCCTCCTTACGCTATTTCACACCACTGATTGTGTTCCATGCGTGTCTCATTTTGAGCAGGGAAGAGGGGCCTTTTTTGACTCCTGCAGTGCCTTACAAAAGCTGATTGTGTTCGTGCCTCTTCGACGATTATTTCATCTGCAGAGGGACTGGTCTGGATTATTCTTGCTTTGGCATCTGATGATCCAGAAAGTGCCTTTTGTCCTGTCCGCCAAACGTGCGTGTGTGTTGACAGTGGCAGAAGCCGCAGGGACAGACCTTTCCCGCGCTGCATGTCAGCAACTTGAACCTGACGCCGTTCCACCAGCACGGCCCTCCAGCTGCAAGCAGGCTCTGTGCGGTATCGGACGGCTTTTGTGAGATGCGCTAGCATGTGCGGTGGTGGTTACGTTAAGGCTTACTGCTTGCTGGGTTACTTTATGTGCCCCCAAACCAAACATGCTCCCTGGGGCGGTGTATTAAATCCGTTGTCATTTGCTGGTAGAGATCAATGCGCGTTCGTAGCAATAGGATGGGGAGCAGTACAGAGCCTACCCGTGTGTGCTGCCCCTCAGCCACACATCCGGGGCCAGATTTATGCTGCAGGTCACTCCATCAGCTTGCCGAGGCTATAAATCAGTGCAGAATTTGTCTCAGGCTTCGGGGCCATATGGTGTGTGTGAGTGTGTGAGAGAGAGACATGCCCGCGCTAAGGGAGAATAAAGGTCTGTGTTTGGTGTAGGGATATTTCAAAGCCTGAGAAAGGGGCAAAGTTCATTTTCTAATTGAGTGCTTTGAAATATATATATGTATATGGTCAATGTTTATCTTCTAGAACAAAGATCACTTTGTTTTTCAAATGTTTGTGTGTTGGTGCTGAGAATTGTATGAAGGGGTCTTAACCAGAAGAGGTTCCTCTGAAATCTCTGGAACGGCTCGTGAGGGCAAGCGCTACCCACTGCTGTGAGTACAGGCTGCAGGATCGGCCCTTTACTCTCAGTCAGTTTGATGGAGGAATCAGTGAGAACTTAAATATTCAGTGTGTTTTTCCTGTCCTTGTAAATGTACATGTATGGTTCGCACAATTACCTCAGAAAAAAGGATAGAGTTACATTTGTAACAATTCTTATATATGAAGCCCTAAGCTTAGTTGTTCCTCTATCCGTATCTTGTACTCTGTAGAATTT